AGGAAGGGCTTGGGGTTTAGGGTTGAGGGTTGAGGGTGCTCTTTGAAGTATCGAAAATACGTACCGCCCCTGGAAGGCCCAAGAAGATACGTTAAGGTCACACTACGACGTTCCTCACGGAGGAATAGCAGGTACCATATAAACATGAACACTAAGCCCTAAACCCTAAACCCAAAAGCCCTAAACCCCAAAAAGCCCTAAACCCCTAAACCCTAAACCCCAAAGCCCCAAAAAACCCAAACCCACGAACACAGGGCGTGAAGCCGTAGAGGGTCGCAGTGAGGGCTTCGCAGAGGTCGCTGCCAGCGTCGAAGCCGTGCACGTCTGCCAAAGTCACCCCTCTTGTGCCTGGGCTTCCCGCGGCTCCCCCGTAAGAAGGATCTACTGTAGGGGCCTCAACAATGAGCATTATGATGATGCTTATCATAGCATACTTAAAATGAGGAACCCTGAGGCATAATGTTGGATATAATTGAGGCTGCAAAAGTAGGGTGTAGCATTTTGTGTTCTCGGTTTGGGGTTTTTGGGTTTAGCGCAATGTCGGGTTTTAAGTAAAGGAGTACTACTATGGGACCTAGTGGCATTCCTCCCGTGCGAAGTCACCGATGAGGTCGATAGACGGCATGGTGTGGATCCGCAGCGGATTCGGTGCCGCACCTCGGAAGTGGCACTCCTGCAGTGCGTAGAGATACCTAAGCTGCTCAAAACACAACAGACGCAGCCCGTGCTTTCTTTCACTGAGGGTTAGGGCTGATGTTCTTTACAAGATTTGGGGGTTCAGAGTTAGGGTCTAGGATGGAATATTTACTTCTGGACAACATCGGATCGAACTCGCAACCGGCGATAGGAAAGAAACAGCCCAGAAGACAACAGGCTAAAGGCAAGTTGCTGCAGCAAGTACGACTTGCCCAGTGCTTGGCCCGTCCCGACAGACAGCACCAAGGGATAGGAGGGGCTGCAGAAGAGCCTGGGAGAAAGATGAGCCGTTGCTAACAATCCTACACGACGCAGTGCAAGACCGCGCTTGAGGACAAGGAAACAGAAGCTAGGAAAACATGCCCTAAACCTTAAAGCCTAAACACCCAGCTGTAAAGGCAACGAGCCAATAGAAGCATAAGCGATTGAAGGGTGGGTACGACAAGCAACCTTCAGAAGTTCATCAGGCACACCAAACACAGCTCAAGAAGCGAAGACAACCCCGGCACCCACCGAAATCCACGCCGAAACCAAGACTACCGGAGCCCCGAATTCAGAAAACAAAGCCCATGAACATACAAAGCTGTAGGGTTCAGGGCTTCGGGTCTAGATTTCGTCGTGTCTTTGGGGGCTTCGTGTCCAGGGCTTTAAGGTTTTGGAGCTTAGGGTTTAGGGGTGTACAGTTTAGGGGTTTGGGGTTTAGGGTTTTGGGGTTTAGGGTTTAGGGTTTAGGGCATAGGGTATAGGGGTTTAGAGTTTAGGGGTTTACAGTTTAAGGGTTTAGGGTTCAGGGGCTGCGAGGCTTTAGGGTTTAGGGGTTGCCAGGGTTCAGCGTTCAGGGGCGTGGTTTAGCGTTCATTCTGGAAGCCTCACGTCTATGATTCAACAACCTCAAACCCCAAAGCCCTCACCCAAACTACCTAACCCTAAACCCTAAACCCTAAACCCTAAACCCTAAACCCTAAACCCTAAACCCTAAACCCTAAACCCTAAACCCTAAACCCTAAACCCTAAACCCAACCCGACAAAGAGGAAGCCAAGCGTGATCCCTGCAATCTTGCAAACAATCATCCTACTAAGCCCTAAACCCCAACAGTTAAACCTTCCACCGCAAAACCCTAAAACCCTAGACCCAACCCCACCCTCAACCCCCTGAAGGTAAAGCAACAAAAACACACATCAGATTACACCCTACCCGAACCCCTAAACCCTTTAATATAGGGGCCTTAACAATTACCTATATCATTTTGGGGGTTCCTTACTATAATTATAGTATAATAGGCTCCAAACCCGCTATTCTACATATTAAACCCGACAGGCCGAACACCGAAAGCCAAGACCAAAAACCCTGCACCCCAAGCATTTGGATTCAAAGGAGCTCCCTCAACGCTCCCCACTGGATTTGCGAGCAGAGTTGGAGGCCCCGTCCACTCTCCTTTGGGTGAGTTTTTAGGGTTTAGGGTTTAGGGTTTTGAATTCAGGGCTTGGGGTTTAGAGTGTCCTGTTTCGGGTTGAAGGGCGAGGGTTTTGGTGGGTGCTTTGGGTATGGGGGGTTTAAAGTTAGGGCTTGAGTGTGTATGGGGCTGAAGAATTGCAAGAGTTTAGAGCTTAGGCCGACAGATTTGGGGAGGTTAGGGTTTTAGGGTTTAGGGTTTTAAGGTTTTAGGGCTTAGGGTTTAGGGGTGTTTGCTTCGGTTTGCCTGTGCCATATAGAGACCGTGGTCAAAGAATTCAGTAGGGCTCGCCAAGTCTCCCCGTCCGCTGAGGCGGGAACTGCCCAGCCAAAGAGCCTGGGAAAGGACCCTTCGGTAGTTCGTTAGGGTTTAGGGTTTAGGGTTTAGGGTTTAGGGTTCAGGGTTTAGGCTTTAGGGTTTAGGGTTTGTGTTATGTGGGTGGTTGTTGAATACCTCAGCCTACCAAAACCTACTTTTTTTTGTAGGGTCCCCATAGATTCTATATCCGGGTCATAATGAAAACCTACCAAAGAGTAGGCTACGGTAGTTTAAGGTAGGTATCACAGTACTACGGTTGTGATTTAGGCTTACGGCCTGGGGTCCGTAAGGAAAGGAGAAATCTGAATCCTAGGTCCTCAGCTTCAAAGCACTACAGAAACAGACGGCAGAGGCAATATAGGTGCCTAACTCATGACCGATACTACTTTGGTTCTTTATTTGTAGCAAGGGGAATCCTATTCTACTTGCTAAGGCCCCGCATAGGCAAAACGGTGGCAAAAGCGGAAGTGCTGAGCCTGCATGTCGCTTTTTCGGTGTGAAATCTTGAATCTACAGTAAACCCCAAAAAGTTGGAAACCGGATTAAGGACAAATAGTGCTGGGATTCCCTATAGATTGCTCTTAATTAGGGGTTGAGGCTATTGGGTTTCTAACTTTTTGGGCTTCTACTACAGGCTGTAGAGTCTTCGGGTTAGCGACTGTAAGGTTTAATATAAGGTTTAGGGTTTAGGGTTTAGGGCTTAGGGTTTAGGGGTTAGGGTTTAGGGTTTAGGGTCCAGTTTAGGACAGTTTGGTGCTCAAACCTGGCAAGGGGCAAAGGCAGGGGAGAGTCCGTCTTCGCTGCCAGAGTCATCATGCGCGCCTTCCGGGCACTCAACCCTGAACCCTAAGCCCTAGATCCTAACGGCAGGCAGAGCTTTGGGGGTTGGGGGGGAGGGCCGATGGCAGATTTCAGCAAGATAGGGGCCCCTGAATAACAACTGTAATAATGAAAAGACGGACAAAAAAAATCATCACAAAATAAATAATGCAAGCAATACCTGGCTTCGAGAAGGGACGCTTATTGCTGGTAAAAACCAGGCCAAAGATCGTAGAAAAGAGAAGAGAGAATCCTCAAGTCTGAAAATCAACCAGCACGGAAGGATCTGGCGGGCAACTTGAAGCGCCTGGGGTGATAGCATTTCGGGCGGACCTAAATCCCAAACACCAAACCCTGCTACCACGCCCTCAACCCTAAACCCTAAACCCCAAACCCTGTCGTCCTACGTCGCAAAATGCACCGAATCTCCGCCGCAACCAACAGGGGTTTAGGGTTAAGGGTTTGGGGGTTAGAGTTTAGGGTTGAGGGTATAGGGTTTAGGGAACCATCTTGAAATTTCGCTGGGCTTCCAATGTGAAGCGACGAAGGCGATCTTGATACACCTCCTACTCGTGCTAACAATAACAGGCTCTGCAGAAACCTTGAAGCTTCACACATCCTCACTGCCGATCATCTCTGAACCCTCGCCGCGACCCCACCCCTCAACCTCTAAACTCGAAGCCCTAAATGCTGGACCATCAAACTCTAAACTAAACTCCTCAAAGTAACTCTGTAGTAAACCTTGAGAGCAACACTGATAATATGTGACCCGTATAGCAACCCGTCTCCCTAGGCCCATGACCTTTATCCCCAAACCCTTATCCCTCAACCCTAAACCCAAAACCCCTAAACCCTAAACCCCTAAATCTCTAAACTCTAAACCCTAAACCCTCAACCCTAAACCCTAAACCCCTAAACCCTAAACCCCTAAACTCTAAACTCCCAAACCCTAAACCCCTAAACCCCTAAACCCTACACCCTTAACTCTAAACCCCTAGACTCTAAACGCATAAATCCAAAACCCCTAAACCCTAAGCCCCTAAACTCCCAAACCCTACACGTTAAGTCCCACGCCAGACGCCGGCCTGCGACGGGCCGGGCGCCATGCTACTGAAGGTCAGCGCGATGAGAATGTCCCTCGGCTGAAGATGCTTTCCTCGGACAGCTAGGGTTTAGGGTTTAGGGGTTTAAGGGTTTAGGGTTTAGGGTTTAGGGTTTAGGGGTTTAGGGCTTTAGGGCTTTAGGGGTTTAGGGGTTTAGGGGTTTAGAGGTTAGGAGTTTAGGGGTTTAGGATTTAGGATTTAGGATTTAGGGGGATCAGCTCGTCTTCTTTACAGCGTTTAGGGCGTGGTTCTTTGAGCTTCTTCTTCCCACCGCTGTAGCCGCTAAATGACAAGGTTCTTACGAACCAGGTGAGTGCACGAACTTCGTCCCAGACCTCCGGAACCAACACCGAGCTAAGGCCATTGATATTTGGGTTGTCGACTGTCATCTCCCATTGAAGCTTGAAGCACCCTAAACACTAAACCCTAAACCCTGAAACCTAACCCTAAACCCTAAACCCTAAACCCTAAACACTAAACCCTAAACCCTAAACCTTGAAGCCTGACCCCGTTTAAGATTGCACGGCTCTTTGGAGCTTGTCCTGGTCGCCGCGGCCCCGAAAAACCAGCTGCCAGGCCATAGGTGCCCCGAGTCGAGGCTTTTGTGTCATTTGGGAGTTCCGAAAACCGTAAACCCTAAACCCTAAACCCTAAACCTTAACCTTATTTTGGGGGTCCTTGTAATAATTTAGGGTACTATATTAAGGCCCCCTATTTCCGGAAACCCCCATTGAGGACTGAGGGAATGGTCGTTGTGAGCACACTTTAGGGTTTAGGGTTTAGGGCTTAGGGCTTAGGGTTTAGGGTTTAGGGTGTGGGGTGTAGGGTTTAGGGTTTAGGGTTTTTAGGGTGTCACTCAGCAGAACTGACAAAGACGAGCCGACACCCCAAACCCGAAGAGCTCGAAGAACTGAACTCCCGACTCTGCCTGCTCGCCTCCGACAGGCGGCGAAGCAAGTTCTTCTCCACCTTGTCTAGGCCACAACTCCTGGAGATGTTTCGCCTCCCCCTGCCTCTCTATGAGGCTTTGGGCTTTGGGGCCTATGACTTCGGGGCTCCGGATTCAGGAGAGTCTTCTCAGAAAAGAACGCACACATTCAAGGTGAAACGTCTTTGTGCCCTTTAGACCGACCCCCAATCCTCCCCAACAAAAACTCGTAAAGCAGGAAGCCCATCTGACCCTTCATCGTTGCAGGCTCCCTGTGCATCCGTGTTGTTGGGCACCCGTCGCTTAGAGGATTGCCAGGGGTGGCTCCAACTGGCTCCGGAATGGCTTTTTCACATGTGATTCGCCCCTAAGCTCCAGACCCTAAACCCTAACGTCTAAACCTTAAACCCTAACCCGAAAACCCCTAAAACCCTAAACCCTAAACCCTAAACCCTAAACCCTAAACCCTAACCCGAAAACCCCTAGAACCCTAAACCCAGTAGGCTGTGTGGTCTAGTTGTGAAGGCTTCGGGTTTGGGGTCTGGCTATGAGGCTTGAGAGTTTGGGGGTCTGGGATGGCTCTCTAGGGTTTAGGGTTTAGGGTTTAGGGTTTAGGGTTTAGGGTTTAGGGTTTAGGGTTTAGGGATTTTAACTCACTCAAGTCCCAGAAGCCTCGTGCTCCTCATGCCCAAAACGCCTCTCAATTGGGTCCTGCCCCTACTTTGCAACAGTCTGTGTATGAAGGGGTCATGTTAAGGGCTCTATTTAGCTGTTTTGAATATTATACAACTGTTACAGAGTAGGGCCGGTTCCCAACCTCTCAATCTTGAAGCATCCAAACGGTTTAGGCTTCAGAGTTTACGGCGTAGTGCTTCGCGTCTCGATGCCCGACCCAATGAAAGGATCATAGGTATTGAAGCACCAGGGAAAAGAACGACTAGTCATGACCACTTGTCATTGATGACCCCGTCGCGGAGCTGATAAGCTAAGGCTACTAAGTCCCCCGATCCTGTAAGGGCATCCTGAAGCTCAAAGACCCCGAAACCACCTCATAGTCAGCAAATACTCGGCCTAAACTGCGTTCTAGTTGAACGGCCCCATACCAGCATAAAGGGCAAACAAAAAGCGGCCCGAATTGCCACCTAGCCTGAAACCTAAACCTTAAACCCAAAAGCCCTAAACCCCAAAACCCTAAACTCGAAACCTCAAAACCCAAATCCCTAAAACAAACCCCTGTCCGGAGTGTGTTGAGCATGGAGGATATTCCCTGCCGCCTCTTCACCAAGTCCTCGGTTGCTAGCCCAAATCACTTCTGTGCAAGAAAAGTGAGGTTTCGGGCTGACGGCTTTAAGAGGATACCGCTAAACCCTAAACCCTAAACCCTAAACCCTTTGGGGCTTTTGGGGTTTAGGGTTGCGGTTCGGGGATGGTTTTGGGTTTTTTTAGGGGTTTGGCCCTTTCGACTTCACTCTGACGGCTTCGCCTCTATTGGGTTTAGGGTTTAGGGTTTAGGGTTTAGGGTTTAGGGTGTACGTAAAGCTTCGGAGTCGTGACTTCGTATCTGGCTTAATCCTCAGGAGTTCACTGAGAGGGTTGCCAGGTAGGGCTTCTTGCTTTTCCCATCAGAATCCCAGAATACTGGGTTCAAGGTAGTGCGATGTACTCCGGCTGCACCTCTCGTGACCCGCGGATCCATGTTTGCAGATCTGCAGCATCTGCAACGATGCGATTTTGGGTCGTCGTCGTGTGCAGCTAGGCCCAGGGCGCCCTACAACCCTCCAGCCACGCAGCCCTCCCCCCCCCCCCCCCCACAAAAAAAAACAACAACCCAAAACAACCCAATAACACTTCGGCGAACAAAACTCAAAAAACCCGAGCTTGAAAAATTCCAAGATGCACCCCACACATGAAGCAACCTCAATAAATAGTAGTTTATGTAACTCTAGACGGTCAACCGTCAACTCCCTTCCCCAAGCCCTTAACCCGACACCC